AAAAAAACAAAGGTTTCACATTAGATTCCGTGTTTGGAGGCTGCTACCCTTATTTTTTATTTCAGAAAAACTATATTTTTCAAACATTTTTTATATATATAAAAATTCATATTAAAAAAAATAAAAAATATGATTTATGTAAAGAAATTGACAAAATAAAGTTCTCTTTTTAGGGGGTGAACAACCCTCTAGTGTGCTAAAAATGTATGTACGATTAGAATTAATATTGCAAAATAAAAAGTTTTTACTTTTTCTCTAATCATACGAATAATTTGTTCTATTAGCCGCAAACAGATTTAAACGGATGCAAACCACCCCTCATGGTCACCCCCAAAATATTTCTGTGACATCTCAATATTTTGAAATGAAATAAAATGGAAATTACTTCTTTTAAAAAAATAAAATGTTTCACAAGTGATTTCGTGTTTGGGGGTTGCAACCCTTATTTTTTATTTCAGGAAAACAAAGTATATTTTCAAAAATGTTTTATATATAAAAAATTCATATTGATTCAAAATATTAAAAATAAGTATGAATTATGTAAACAAATTGACAAAAATAATTTCTCATTTTAGGGGGCAAACAACCCCCTAGTAATCCCCTAGTGTACGAAAAATGTTTTAACTTTTTCTCTAATCATACGAATAATTTTTTCTCTTGGTCTAAAACGGATTTAAACAGATGCAAACTAACCCCGATGTTCACCCCCAAAAACAGTATATCCGTGATATCTCGGATTCTAATAAATATTTTGGAATGAAACAAAATGGAAATTACTGAACCCGTTTATTGGGGGATGAACAGTAGGGGTAGTTGATGAACAGCAGGGGTAGTTTGCATCAGTTTAAATCCGTTTTAGACCAACAGAAAAAATTATTCGTATGATTAGAGAAAAAGTAAAAACTTTTTATTTTAAAATGTTAATTCTAGTCAGCACAGAAATTTTTCGCACACTAGGGGGTTGTTCACCCTTAAAAAGAGAACTTAATTTTGTCAATTTATTTACACAAATATGAATTTTTTATATACCTATAAAAATTGTTTGAAAAATATAGTCTGAAATAAAAAATAAGGGTAACAACCCCCAAACACGAAAACACTAATGAAACAACTGTTTTTTTATAAGAAGTAATTTTGCATTTTGATTCGTTCCAAAATATTGATGAGAACCCCAGATATTTAGAAAAATCCGTTTTGAACAGGGGCGAACTTTGAAGATGTATTTCACCCCTAAACATGTTTTTCCGCCGATAAAAAAAAATACTTCTTTTAATTTTTTTTTGTTTTGTGTGGTTTTTCCCCAAATTCATGCTCAATAAATTAACTTTAGTAGCAAACTATTGTATTAATAAGTTTTAATTGTGATGGTTTCGTTCTGCCAGTAGTCGTAGTCTATTGTTATGAAACATGAAACAAATACCTACAACGTAGAGCACAAACTCGTAAATAACTGGTACGTACAACATAAAATAGCGGCCGTGTTCTGTTTCATTTCAATACAATTAAATAACATGTCTGTTTGACGGATACTTATAAGATATTATGTTATTACGGCATGTTATTTACAAACGTTATTTCTAACATAACATTTTAACGTAAATGGGATACATACTCGGCCTGATTATTGATATACTGACAGGTGTAAAAAACAATATAAACGATAAAATAGAAATTTTGAAGAAACAAATCATTTCGATGCAAAATGCCATAGTGCTTCTCAGCCCCATTTTACTCAGGCAGTTGTGGATTCAATACCATTGTCGGAAAGTTTTTCGTTTAAAAAGAATAAGTGGTAAGATTGGATAAAGCATTATAAAAGGTACCAAAATGAAACAAATTTAGACAGGTGCAACAGAGACACCCAAATAAACAATATTTATGGGCGTTAAAGTTTCAAAATGATTGGAAACTCAACAAAAAAGGAAACACGACTTTATATCTTACCGACAGTTGAAAGATTTCTTTGAAAACTAGTTTATAAGCGCAAGAAATAAGTATAGTCTATGCTAGAGCAAAATTCCTTTAAATATGGTAAAAGTATATAAAGTATATCTTTATCAACAAAATTAGAAATTGTATATCGTCCCCTGTATATGTTCGCAAGAAATCTCTTATATATCACCTTAAAGAAATTAATTAAGACTATCTTTTGTATATATCCTATTAAGATTCGACTCGCGGTTATTAAGTTACCGGTTAACTCGTATCAGGCTTTGAGTTTTTGTACCATCACCTGCAGACATTCACAAGAAATCGTGTATGGACTAGCACATTTAAGTGTATCGTGTCATAAGATATTCACACGCGGTTATAGAGTTATTGTGCATTCTACTCACGTCAATGAAGTTAATTCCGCAAATTCATAGCTAACTTCACACAAATATGAATTGGTTAAATGGTAAAATAAATGTTGGGTAAAGATCTACTATTAAAATATTCTCTAGAGAAATACAAAACATTCTATATGGAAAATATTCCAATCAATGCACCAATAAATATCAATAAAACTAAAATTCATACGTCAAGTCACGTTAACTATCCTTATTAAGCTGTACTGCCCACTCACCCAACATATCTTCAGGTATTTTACGGCCGTGCTTGTAAGCCTTCACATAAAACTTATCCAAGCTGGTATCCATCACTTCCATACATATCCACACGTCACCCTCTCTGAACAGCGCACCATAAAACTGAACGGTGTAAGGACAGTCGCTACTTCTCATGGAAATATCAAGGTCCATCAGCAATCGTTTCTGCTCCTGCGTATTCACCGTTGCCGTTATTCTTTTCACGGCCATTATTGTGCCGCTAGGTATGTGTTTCATTTTTTCGACCACTCCGTAGGCTCCTCTACCCAAATCGCATATTTTTTCCAAGTCGTCTGCTTCGACATCAAACGTTCTGTCTCCTATGGTGATGGTCGTTCTTGTGTCTAGATTTGCTGGAGGAACACTAACAAATAAAAATCATATAAATCATTGTTATGTAAATAAAACAGATTTTACTTACACAGGAGGAACTACATCATCTGAAACTTGAAGTTTCAGACCTGGTCTCTTCTTTCGGCCAGACATGTTTGGAACACCTGCAAGGTAAAAAAAATTAAATCAATATAGCCCACGTGCTAGTGTTTATAAAAAAAATGTTTTTTTATCTGCAGAGAGTCCCGAGTTCGTATTGTTAAAAGGAATATAGTAAGTCTCAAGTATAGATAAAATATTCTAAAATTATTATGTAATCCACTGAATAGAAAAACGATTTTATTTAATTACCTTAAAAGTGTTACTAAACTTATTTTTAATTAACTACTTGCCGACCAACCAACGTGACCATATATGAAAAGATGCTAAATGCTAAACTATTATTTAGTGACAAAACTACTGGTCTAGTGACTTTTTGGTTTAACCTTTAAAGTTATCAACTATTAGTTTTTATTTGATTTCGAACTACTATAAAATTAAATAATAATCCAGTACAAGCTTTGAAAAATATTTTACTAATTATAAAACGATAAAATGTAAAAGATTTGACACATCATTGATAAAATTTTATTAAACAATTTTCCTGTTATTACAACGTTGGTTACACTGATTCTGATTTCTGATTTTAATTTCATTTCGAAACACAAAAAACCCGATCTAAATCTGTCAATTTATCCGAAAATAATAATCTTTAGAGACAGGGGCGTAATGACTGTTTTTTAATTCAGTAATATTTTTATTTGTAGATCAATTTACCTTATTTATTATCTTAATTATTACTGAGTACCTAACTTTTATCTTTGAACTTGTTTTAATCATTCAATATGGATTTATACGTTGCAACATTATGGCCTCTATAGAATTTTAGTCGATTTTTTAATTAATGGGTAGACCATTCTCTACTTCTGTTTACTTCAGTTAAGAGTTAACTGATTAGTTAAACTACCCAACACTTACTTTTACTACGAATATAACAGAAAATAAGTAGGGATACAATTCTGAATGAAAACACACATTTCTAATCACATTCTGTAGCATTTCAACTACTCGCGTGTAACTTATTTAATTCATTTCACTTTTGCATCATTTTAAGCGTGTTAAATCTGGTTTTAATTAAATCCGTATCGGAATACTTTACTTTCCCTTTTACGACCCTGGCGAAACACACGAAACACGTGGAATCAGTTACCGCCACCTATCAGAGGAACACAGAGCGACGATGTCCTTGTTTGCTATCTGTCATACTGTCATATTTTTCCTATAACTGCAATATAGGTTGTGTTTTTTGAAGTTTTGCTAATCAAGCGATTTATTCAATTATTGAAGCCACGATGTCGGGTACCGAAGCCTCAAATTTCAGTGATAATGAGAATCTCTGTGTGGTTTGTTTTAAGAGCGTGGAATTCTATTCCATCGGCGTGTGCGACCATCCTGTGTGCTTCGAGTGTTCCACCAGAATGAGGGTATTGTGTCGACAAAATGAATGCCCCATTTGCAGGCAAGATATGCCAAAGGTACGATGTTTGGATTACATTGGTCAAGTGGTAAAACATTTGTCGATTTTCTCGAATAAATAGACAGAAACGTGCTATTTTTAGACTAATGTTTCGTGGTCATACTCTTATATAATTATAGAAAACACCTGTACTGTTTGTATTTTTTTTTAATAACTTATTTTGAATAATGTAAGTAGGAAATCTTGAAAAATATAAATGTAACCTATCGATATGTTCACACATTTGTAAAACCACCGAGGAACAAGATAACATATTGTACTTTTTTAACTCATACTTGAATACTTACGTTGAAGCATGGTGTGATAAGATTAAGCTGACTTTTATATTTATTTCAATTCAAGCATTTTTTATATCAGCCTCAGTGGAATTTGCCCACTAAACAATTTAATTGAAATGTACTTCATTGGACTTGTCAACTAAAACAATTTTTAAATCGTATGGGAATAAAAATGTTGTATTGAATGATAATATAATTGCATTTTGGCCATATGCATTTGAGAACATGTACATTTCTTTATCTTCTTTATTTGTTTTAAGGTCATTTTTACGAAAACTATCGAACTGTTCGCCACCCTCTTCCCAAAATTCGAGCGGTCCAACCTCCAAGACCGCAAATTCGGAACTTTCTTTTGCACTTCGGACATTCAGAAAGCTTATTACAAAATCCTTGAACATCGCTGCCACATCTGCCAAGACAGCGAAAGGAAGTGGCCTTTTAAAACGTTTCAACAGCTCAAAGATCACATGAGGAGAGAGCACGAATTGTTCTACTGTGATATTTGCGTTGAAAACCTCAGGATATTCAGCTCGGAAAGGCGCTGCTACACCCGCCAGGAACTGGGGCACCACAGGCGAAAGGGGGATCCGGATAATACCTCCCACAGGTCAGTGCCAATTTTATCTGCCATGACAAAGTATCGGAGAATAAAATTTAGCTGTGAGTATTTTTCGAACGGAAAGATTCAGTTTCGAAGCTTTAGGGGGGTCCCAAACTCGGTTCGTAATTAGGTCAAGTTGGTTGTTTTTCTGCAAGTGAATGCGAAATTTTCTGAAATGTGGTCAATACAGAGTGGTCCGTTTTTCATGGCTGGGAAACCGTAAGCTATGTGGGGTGGCTCAAATTAGAAAAATGTTGCGTCTTTTCAGTATTGTGAAAAAACTGAAAATAGCGATTTTAGAAAATGCCATCTAGCATCCTTATTTCACAACAGAATCCATTTCCGTTGAAAAAAAATTTCTACGGCCACTAGTTTCAGATATGCAATATTCAATTGTTTTTCTTTTTCTTATGAACGCTATATTGGATTTTGACAGTAAAAGGTAGAGGATAAAATTACGAACACGTCAATATGTGACATTATTTATTTTATTTGAAGGATAACCCATAAAATTAAAGAAATTCAGTAATTTATTTAAAAATTTAATAGAATCTAGTTGTTCTTGACGTAAATATTTTACTTACAGTTAGTATATTTTGTTAAAAAAACACTGCAATTTTTTAATCCTCAGTGCTTCGTCTACAAAATAAGGTAGCTTTAGAATAATACGTTACTAAATTATACAAAAGCATGTATAATGATAAAAAACAACGAAACACTATTAACCCCCTCTTGTTTGCGTAGAGGCCATCCGTTATGCGAATTCTGCGACACCCGCTACATGGACAGCGACGAGCTCTTCCGCCATCTGCGGAGGAACCATCTATTCTGTCACTTTTGCGACGCCGACGGCAAACACCAATACTACAACGACATGGACGATTTGAAGAGGCACTTCCGCGACGAGCACTACTTGTGCGAGGAAGGGGAGTGTAAGACTCTACCGATGACTGCCGTTTTCAGGACGGACATAGATCTTAAAGGTGAAAACTTTATAATTTTATTTCGTTCTTAGTTTACGTGACTCGCTAATCGTATTTTAGCCCACATAACAATGGAACACAGCAGGCATATGAGTAAATCCGCTACGAAGCAAGCTAGGACCTTGGAGCTGGAATTTACCCTGGCTCCGAGACCGAGAAGTGATAACTTGAGGAATAAGCGGTACAACGATCGCAGGGACAGGTCAGTACTTTTATTACCGTGTAGATAATAGTGTCGATACTTGGGCGGAGATGTTATTTTACTGGTGACATATGCGGCATTTTTGCTATTTTCGCATAGTGTTTGATAAAAAGTTTAACTTGCGCACGTGCACATAGAACATTTTATTATGTTACACGCGGTTATTTCTATCTCTGTTTGTCATATACAAAAAGAGAGATAACTGAGGTATCGTTTCACTTGCTGAAATCTTGTTCTGTCTCAGTTTACAGCCGAGGTGTGTCAGTGCTTGTCATAAGCGTAGAAATAGGAAATATGTGTTATTATTTTCAAGTTTTAGTTATCCCAATAAGTGTTTTTAGAAGTAGAATATATGGCGATATCAAAGTAGTTGCAAACAATCAAATTTAACTGATCAAAAAGTGGTATGATGGGTAAGATGATGAGAGGAAATATACAATTAATATATTTTTATACAGGGTGTTTCAGGATTAAGTCGACAAACTTTAAGGAGATATTCTTCATAAAAAAATAAGAAAAAAATCAAGTATAAATTTTTTTTCCAGACACTTAATTTTCGAAATATAGGGCGTTCAAGATTTTTAAAAAAATTTGAATTTTTTAAATGACTTCTAAATGAAGAAGGCTATTTAAGCCAAATTTGGCATGACACATCTTATAAGATACCATTTTTCCATAGAAGTAGAAGTCCCGCAAGGAACCAGTGGCGGAATTATGGGGACTCATTAAATTATAAAAAAAATTAATACAGCCCTACTGAAAATAAAAAATTATGCTGCTTTTAGATAGAACAGTTTGTTATTGACAAAAAGTGTACATTCACTTTTTTTCCTAACTCTTATAGTTTCATGGCAAAATAGATTTTTCGGAAGGGTGCTTCTGGATTCTGTCGATAAACTTTAGGAAGACGTTCCTCATAAAACCTAAAAAAAATATAGTACCTATTAAAATTGGTCTTAGTCTCGAGTATGTGTGAGTCAAATAAGCCTTTTTGTCTCCCCTTCCCTTGGGTTTAACCAATAGTATTAAAATTATTTAGGAGATGCTTCGTTTTTGAGATATAGGGCGGTTTTTTTAGGAAAAAAAAATGATGAAAACAATAGAAATATTTAAGTACCTAACATCTAATGTGACTATGTTGTAATGTGACAACGTAACGTCCTTTGCAATACTCCTAAATTTTTTCAGGCGGTTTGTAGTCACTTCATTTACTTGTGTGGTGCACTTTTAAATAAAATAAGATGGCAAACAATACATGAAAATTTATTTGTAAATTGAAACAACCAAAAAATTACCAATTAATATTATATCTAGACAAAGCGAAAAGTGAATCAAAAATGAAATGATTTAAAAAATATTTTGTTCAAAATGGGCGCCTCCGGACTGTAGACATGCACGACATCTTCTAATTATGGAGGTAGTGGCCGAATGACACTGAATTGGAGTTAATTCTCGACACACTTGGACTATTCGCTGTCTTAGATCTTCTAGGGCAAGGGTCGGCCACTGGCAGACCGCGGTCCAGATCCGGACCGCGGAAGGTAAAATACTGGACCGCCAAAAATTTTTTGAAAATATAAATTACTCAAATTATTTAAAAAATATTTTTTTACGTTTGAGTAATTTTTTCTAGTATTTTACAATTGTGACTGATTTGAGTTCTTAATGCAAATGAAAATAAAAAAATTGTAAGAAATACGAATTTTTTTCTGGACCTCGTAAAAAAATTTCAAAAGTATCTGGACCCCACCTAAAATTACTTGCCGACCCCTGTTCTAGGGTATCAACTGGCACCTTGTAGACTTTTTGTTTAACAGCACCCCAAACGAAATAATCCATCGGTGTCAAGTCCGGTGAACGTGCGGGCCACGCTGGTCCTCCACGACCAATCCATCTCCTGGGATAATTAATGTTTAACCACTCCCTAGGACCTCTACCAAAATGGGCAGGACAACCATCTAGTTAAAACCAACCGTTCATTCGAGTATTAAGCGGAATATCTTCTAACAGATCTTGAAAACCATTTTCAAGGAACTCGGTAAACATGTCAGCATTTGACCGATGCGGAAGGAAGTAGGGACCAACTATAGTGTTGTCCAACAGACCCAACCATAATTTACATTGGAATTCATGCTGAAAAACTATGTTCCCTTACTGCCCGTGGTTTCTCGTAGGACCAAATATGGTTGTTCCTTTGGTTTAAAATTCCCCTTCGAGTAAATGTTGCCTCATCTGTCCACATCACTTTTTGCGTAAACTGATCATCATTCTCTGCTTGGTTTAACATCCAGTCACAAAACATGCGCCTGCATCGTATGTCCTGAGGCAATAAATGTTGCACACGCTGGATATGGTACGCTTGGCATCCATCAGCCTGAAGCGTCCTCCAAATGGAACTTGACGAAATGCCTAGCTCATAGCTAGATCTTCAGACACTCTTGGATGGATTTTCACCGAAATGGTTTAAAATAGTATTCGATCTCACTTCGTCCTGAAGTGGGGCAAAATGTCCATCAGCATAAATTGGAATACCGAAAGACCCAGTTTGTCTGAGACGACTGAATCTCGCTGAAAATGTTTCCTTTGCTGAAAGTCTGCGATGAGGAAATCTTACAGTATATTCACGGCGAGTCGCCATGGCATTTCCATCACAAAAACCATTTCAGCATATTCATTGTTCGAAAATATGGACGGCATTATTAAACTTATTTTTTTGATATATTTATTTATATATTTATTTATTTATATTTGATATATTTTTTCATTGTATGAATGACATAAAAAAATTGTTTGTCTAGTAAATGTAATCCTTATCTTGTATATGTTTGTTAGCTTATTTGTTTTATCTGTCTGTTATTGTTTATCTTTAAGTTTTTTGTCTGGATTTTATATTTTGATTGCTCTATGTTATGTAGTATTTATATTTTTATATTTAATGTTAGTTTGTCTTTTTCTTTTAAAATTTAGTTAAGGTTTTCTGTTTTACCTTATCCTATAATTGGGACTTTGTCCCGTTGGATATTGTAATTTCTAAATAAATAAATAAATAAATAAATTATTAGTTTGAACACTTTATCTAATGGTAATTTATGCAACAATTCGCAAAATAACATTTAAAATGTCAAATTAACATTGCTTGACAGCAGCCTGCTTGAAAATTTTTGTTGAGGTTCATTTTAAAGTTTATCGACAGAATCCAGAAGCACCCTTCCGAAAAATCAATTTTGCCATGAAACTAAAAAAAGTGAATGTACACTTTTTGTCAATAACAAACTGTTCTATCTAAAAGCAGCATCATTTTTTATTTTCAGTAGGGCCCTATTAATTTTTTTTATAATTTAATGAGTCTTGAGTCCCCATAACTCTGCCATTGGTTGCTTGCGGGACTTCTACTTCTATGGAAAAATGGTATCTTATAAGATGTCATGCCAAATTTGGCTTAAGCAGCCTTCTTCATTTAGAAGTTATTTATAAAATTTGAATTTAAAAAAAAAATTTAACGCCCTATATTTCGAAAATGAAGCGTCTGGAAAAAAATGGATACTTGATTTTTTTCTCATTTTTTTATGAGGAATATCTCGTTAAAGTTTGTCGACTTAATCTTGAAACACCCTGTATATTAATTGTAGTAATATATTTTTTATAAAATTTTTAATTAACTGTATTTATTTTAATTATTATTTGTTATTTTATACACTTTATGTTGAACTTGAATGAGTTTAAGCCGTGGAAAATAAATAAATAAAGAAATAATCTGAACGTCGACGTCACTAGGCGATGACACGTCTAATGTTAGATATTTTATTATAGGTGGTAACGGTACTTTACATATTATCGAAAACTGAATTGTACACTGCTGCTTGTACGTTTTTCAGGTACGACGAGGAAAACTTCCAGGGGGGCTACAACATGGAACCAGGGGGACCCGGTGGGGGAAACGAGGGCACGAGTCGCTTATTCGTGAACCCTATAAAACCCCAGGATTTCCCCGCGTTGGGCAACAACTCTAGCATTACTCTGCAGTCGCGCCCCGCGACTACTGTCAATTTCACATCGAAACTCAACTCGGCTTTCAGCGGGGCGGATTTTCCTTCCCTAGGTAACAGAAATTTTCTATTTTTTCGATTTTTTATTACTATTTCACCCGTTGACGATCGTTAAATAATTCTAAAACATTTGGGAACTTTGTGTTGCGAGACGTATCAATTTTAGGCACACCTTCGAGCCGGGCGTCCCCAGCTGTAACAATTACTACAAATTCTGCCGCAGCCGGCTCGAGCAGGGCCCCCGAGGTCACTATAACTAGAACCGTAAGGGGGCAACAGGGCTTGGCTAAGACGATCGATAATTTTCCGGCGTTGGGCTCCAACTCCAGCGCTAGCGGTAGCACGGTTAGGTTGAGCGTCAAGTAAGTAGATTTAGTGAAGTTATTCTATTCTATAATTTATTTTCAAACAATAAAATCATTAAATTAATGTAAAGTTTATAAACGGTTAAAAAAAACTTTGATTTTTTAAAATTTTATAAACCCTTCTGTTCTGACAGCAACTCTCAAGATCCGAAAGCTCCGAAAGTGTCAATTCACGTCAATCACAGACCCAACGGCAGCGTGACCACTCACATAACGACGAGCACCTCGTCCTCCACCCAACAGAGACCCGTGGAAGCTTTCCCCGCCCTCGGTAACTCCACCACACTAGTCCAGCCCATGTGGGTACAGGGCAAGTCGAAGAAGCAGCAAGAAACGAAGACCGCCAAGGTAGCGCCTGCCCCTCAACTACCGCCGAGTACTTTGGATCAGTTCCCGAGCTTGGCCAAGAAGAAAAGTTCCGCCACCGTACCCGTCGCCAACACCTGGGTGAACCTGAATAACATCAACAGCTCCGGCGCTAAGAGCGCTAACGTCGGATTGAAAGAAAACAGCAGGAAAAGCGATACGAAACCAAAGCAGAAACAGATCGAGGTCGAGAACAGGCTGCAGGAACTTAAAATCAACGACAACGGCGACTCCAAGAACAAAAACAAGAAGAAGAAGAATAAAAACAGCTCCGAAACTGATTTAACGAAACAAGCTAAACCAAAAACTGACAATAAAACAAACGAATCGAAATCTGTCAAATCTTCGGACACTTTTAACAAAACAAATGAAAGCGCGACGTCCGACTTTACCGATAGGGTCAATAATAACGAAACGAACCAGAAAAACGGCCTAGTGAAGAAGCGTTCGGAGCTGAAAATCGGCACATTGACTAACTCGGGCGAATCGTGTAACATTTCCAACGATTTCCCACCTCTGGGCGGCGAAATGAAACCCCCGCCGGGTTTCAACGTCAAGCCGCCGCCAGGGTTCACACCCAGCGCGTTTCCTAGCCTGGGCGTAGCCAACGACTTAACTTTCACCTCGAGCAGCGGTCAGAGTTACGCCATAACACCCGCTAGCGTAAATTACCGGCCGCCGAACAACTTCCAAGCGAGGAACCAGAACTTGATAAAACGGTTCATGGCCGTGTTGAACAACAACGAGGCTATAAAGGAGTTCAAGAACTACTCGGACTTGTTCCGTAACGGCGTTTTGTCCGCGAAGAAATTCTACGATCACTGCAAGGAAATCTTGGGCGGCAGCTTCGAGGAGATCTTCCCCGAGCTGTTGGTGCTCCTCCCGGATATTAAAAAGCAGAGGGAACTGTACGACGCTTACGACGGGGGCAACAGGAAGAATTTGGTCATCTGCGAGAATTGCAAGCAGATTATTTTTAAGAGGGAGTTGACGGATCACTACAACCACCACACGCTGGACAACCACTTCCCGAGCCTCGGCAGCATGCAGCAGACAAATAACGCTTGGAAGAAATAGTAACGCGCGTTGGTTTTAATAAAACGTCTTGACTAAGCCGAATCGTAGCATCCTTATTCCCTAAAAATTTAATAATTCAGGCTGTGGTAATATTTGTAACCATTGCTGATTTGATGTAATATTTATTTTTCTTTTTTTTGTATACCGAATAGCGTAATAAAAAGTATATTATTTTTCGTTGGGACTTTATATGCTCAAGTTTGTTGTTATTTTCTAATTATTAATCTTAGGTGTAAAAAAAGCAGCAGTTCTTTTGGGAAATACTGTATAAATTGTAAATAAAATACTATGTATGTTATAACTTTTATAACAAGAATTGTTTGTAATATGTTTAATATTTTTTAAATGAAATAAAGTTAAGTTTATATCGATATTTTTCTTTCTCCTGGTACGTTACACGTTTTCCTTTGATTTCGGGTGCAAAGGTTATTGCACCAATTTTTTCTGCAAATGAAAAATTATTTCAATGGACTAAAAAAAGTGCATTTAAATAACCGAGAATAATCAAATCATACCGTGATAATCGATTAAATTTAGGAGAAATTAGATATTTTGTACAAAAGTACTCTCAATCTTTGCTTAAGTTTAAAAAACTTGGTGATTCGCCTGCTGCAACCAACACAAAAAATGAGGTTAAAAAATATGACACATGTATTTTTTAACTTATCTCCATGGTCTATGGCTGTATTCAGCCAGTGTTTTCTTTTCAAGATATCACGCCCCAGGGCGTCAGATTCAGAGACAACTCTAGAGAGCTCTTGAAAAGAACATAGGTTAGGGATATTTGCCTGTTTATTTACATCTAATCTAAAATACGTTTTTATTTATGATTATCTGCGGTAGTATGCTTTCAAACAGTTACTAGTTAGTTAGTTTACTATTCTAATCTTTTTACTAATTATACATAGTATATATTGTTACTTTCACTTAAATTGCGAGTAGTTCTATTTTCCGGGTAAAATACAGACAACCATCTATTATTAGTAGTTTTACTATCCACAAAACCATTATTTTCCATTTTGTCGAACCTAACCTGATTTATATTTTGGGCTTAGAACGTCAGCTAAAATGGTAGTCCTCGAGGGGAAAGGGGAAGATGTCCGAGGGCGTCGAACCCTGGATTAATCGATTAATAGAACATGGGGGGCTATTCGTTTCGGCAAAAATAGTACCTATTAGCAACTAATGTCAGTTCAGAGTAACACTAAGTTGCTATTAACTATTTTTCGCCAAATCGAAAGGCCCTATGCTATGGAACAGCTCGGAGTTTCTCTAAGGCGCCTTAAGCCATTGAGAAGAATGCAGTCATTCTTGCCAGATTCATCCTTGAGTATAGTTATTATATCTAACCAATGATACTATTTTAACCACGGTGTAATACATATCAATAAACGCTTTCGTTTTGACAAAAATAGTACCTATTAGCAACTAATATCAGTTCAGAGTAACTCTAAGTTGCTATTAAGCTTTTTGCCAAATCGAAAGGCCCTAAGGATAAAGAATTATGACATTGAACAAGTCTCTTCTTATTCTTCTCAGTTCTGTGGGTCTATGAGTGTAGCGGGAGTTTTGAATTTCTTAAAAATTATTTCCTTGCACCGCTTTGTGCAAAATATAGTTATTACTTTGTTTCAAACAAAATTATTATACATAGACAATTCAGTACTAATTAAGTATTTCGCTAACTGTTATTCTCTCACGTGTGTGCCAATTGTTTCAGCAAAAATATACATACCTTTTAAGAAATGGGCATTTCAATTTGCTTTGAAGTTGAAAGAAACTGCCCCATTCCTCAAAATAATATTAAAGTAACCAGATACTGTATTGACGAACATAGAAATATTTATTAAATTTTGTAGTATCTTCTCTAAGATCTAAATGACAGATGGTTAATAGTAAAGCAAAATAAGTTGCTTAAATCTACATCTGCGATATACTATTTTTCATCTCAAAGGTTGACTATTCTTACGTTGAAATTGACTGTGTATTTGTCTTTACAGTTACCGTATAAAGTAAAATGCAAGTTACTATAATCTACCTCATCATATAATTCCAATCTCTTTTCTCACTAAACGATCGAAAATAAATAAATGACGAAATACGTGTCGATTATTTTAAACAAATCTTTCTAAAAAAATAGTTTAAAAAAGGGAAACCATTCTATTAGTATTTATCAACAAAATATTAAAATATAATAAAATAAATTTCCAGTTACGCCACTGCCTGTTCGAAACTAAATGGTATTACGGCGTTGCCAAAGTTCATAAGTCTGCAAGGCCAAATTATATTTTATATAGTGAACAACTAAATATAATGATAAAAGATAACACTGGATATTTTAATATTATGTTAAATAAGAGTATATTTTTTTTGTCTACTAAACGCTTACCTTCGTCCCAGATCACAAAAGCTAGCTATCAACATACTATTGCATTTTATTTCTTCAAATCGATGTTTAAAAAGAACGTCCTTTGAATTTTAGAAAAAGGGCAAGTTTTTAAATTCATTAGATGAATCACATAAATATAATAAAACTGAAATAACGTCACTAATAAGTTTGACGGGGTTCCAATTGATTAAAAAACGCGCCGATTATTTTAAAATTGTTTTCTAACATATTTTGACATTAAAAACTAAAATAAGAATATAATTTAATTTACAAAAATACCACAACACTTTCGTGTAACTGGTTCCATAAAATGTTAATTTTTAACATGATATGCCTTCGTCTAAATTCTAATAATAATTAATATTTCGTTATCTTCACTTTTTGAACTCCTATATTTTACCAACAACAAGCAAGTCGATGTCTATGACAAAGACAAAACATGTTGATGACAATCATACCATATGGGTAAATAAATATTTATTTATATATTTATTTATTCATATGTATATACCTTATGACTTGATAACAGCGATAACACCTGTGTCAAAAGTCACAACCTCAAACCTCAATTGATAGATATAGATACCTATCGTACCACAAAATACATAATTTCCGTACCATTTAATATTTATACTTTTCAATTTTATAGATCTCTGAACTCTGATGTGGATTTGGTGGTCAATTGAAAGGAAGTACGCATTCTGTAGAAACGGTTCGATGGAATTCACCGAATAATACATAATTAATTTAAAAACAGTTTGTTGAAATTTTAATAGAATCGACGAATTTAAAAACTTGCCCAAATATGAAGTTATTCCCTATTTACAAAGAAAAATAGTCGATCTGGCAACGTGGCCGACAGGTTCTTAACTTCTAGATTGGTATCAATGCGCATGATCGTCGATTGTCCATTTATTTTTTTTCAGTTTGTGGGTGAGCTCGCGGTGTGAAGGGTGTACGTTGAGTTCATCCTGAATAAACAATAAATACATCACTTACAAACCACCGAATCCACAAGAACACTTCCGGTGCATAAAAAACTGCAACCGTTCATTTTAATTCAGCTTATTTCCATGCACTATTCCCGCGTTGAACGTTAAAAAGTATGTGACAGTTAAGTGTAGTTTCGTTTCTTCGAATCCTGTATTGCCACCACAACTTGGAAGAAAAATAAAGGTAAGATCCCGTTTGTTTTTCTTTTATTTGTGGATGATGTCGATGATTGAGCCTCGGGGCGAAAAATAAACGCCACTTTAAGTCAAAGTTGGGCCTTGGGACGCAATGTCTAGTCCGGGAACAAAGAAGTTGACGGACGATTTTGATCTCTGGACTGTTGCCGAGCATCAATTTCGTAATTAACCTCATAAAATAGTCGCATTGCTGCAATTAATTGGATACACTTGGCGTTGGCGTTAAGGCCTGTTCATTTTATTTGGAAAAACGGATCCGCTCATATGAGAAAACTTGAACTTGTGACGTTTTAAGTAGGTATTATTGATTTTTCGTGTGTAAATAAACAAAATATTTGAAATAGTACCTAGTTGGTAATATAGGCCTGTGTTTTGGATTTCCTTGCCTACTTAGTGATTTATTAGAGTGGTTTTGTACATACGAGTGTATCACGATCATTCTTGAGCAGGTATTGTTAAATTGGTGGGACAAAAGTAGGTATAATACCTATTACGGAAATTGGTAGGTAGTCTTACATTAAAATATATATTTTTAAGATTTGCATTTTATTCCCATAGCATGTTAAAACTAGTGCTATAGAATTTACATTTTCACGCATGCTAATTTTATCTCGTTTTGCAAATTGAAGACAGTCTTTAGTAGATACTGTTAATAGACGTTTTTGTCACATACCTACTTGAGATATAGGCCAGATTCATTCTTACCAAAAATATTGATGATCTGTTTTGAACTTCGTGATGGTAATGGGTTTTTACTATTATACCCATATAACTCGTTTAAAAATTTTCATAGAAGGCCTAAGTATATAAGTATAAATAAATTTCTCATTGTTACGATAAGTTTAATACCTAAATATTTTTCTTAGGTATCGTTCGATTTAGGTAGTTTTTAAAAATCGCGTTTGAAGTGTAATAAAATTCACTGTCTCTTTTCCGTGCGCTCTTTTTTGTCTACCTGCTCGTTTGTCAAAAAGTTGAATTTATAAATTGATTTATTCTTTTTGTGTAAATATCTATTAGAAAGTGGCAAAGTGTATTTAAAATACCTATTTCGGTGTAATAATTACAGCAAAGAGAGTAAGAATAGCTCGAAGAATAGTTAATATTAATAATGTTGAATTTTAAATACCTATACTACATTTTTTATCTTGGTTTATCTTGGAAATAAATTTTTTTATCGTTTTATAAACTTTAATAACGGTAATTATAATGGTAAATGTTGACGTTTCATGGGATTCTAAAATTGCTTCTGGTAATTTTGTTATCTTTACCATTATAATAGATTAGAAAACTGTAATGATTTGATTTAATATAATTAACGTACTTTGTTTTAGAAATGCTTGCGATAAAGTAAATGCATGTTTCAAATAAGAAGAACATTTAGGCCAGTGTAGATTTTTTTGTTGGTTTTACAAGAAATTATATCATTTTCGAGCGAAATATCATCTTATATAGATAATTTGGTTAAATTGGTTGCTTTTTCTAAATTACTGAATCTGGTTTTACTGGAATTGTATGCAAGCGTTGAGTCATTCACTCAACGATGTAAAACTAAAATTTATAGCGTTTACAGTTTTTTTTTTGAGTTATGGGCACCCACAAAAAACGGCTTCCGTATCAAAACGACCTTTGACATTTCAACCAACTTTCTACGTTGGTTTTTGTAACATTACCGTGTTTGATCTGTTGGACATTGGTGAGTAATACTGAAGAGTGTTTTCTACCTAGTTTAACCTTGGTGCACGCAATATATTACGACAGAACCGCGAATCGGCCTTTCCAAGAACAGGAAGCATAACCGTTTGCTAATACTTGATAAATACGTAGTGTAGGTTTAATTTAAACGTAGGCACCCAAAGAAAAGAGAAAAGAACGGTTTGCCTGCGTGTACACACGAATTACGTTCTGTGCTAGGTTTTACGTATACAATTATGGGCATTGGGCAGTGGGTTGGGAAAAATGCGGCCAAATGTGTAACTAACGGATTCCTGGTAGAAATTATTCGAGAAATCGTGACAAGAACAAAAAATAAGCCGTTTTTTCTACAAAAAGAAACTACAAATTGGTAAAGGCCGAGGTTCTAGGAAATTTTCTTGTGTTCTAACAAAATACTACTTGTTTTTCTTTTATTAAACATCCTACGTATACAGGGTGTCCCAGAAAAACCTGAACTCCTCGATAACTCTTCAGGATTGACTCCTGTCAAAAAAGTTTCGGATAATGGTTGCAGGGTGTTCTTGGATTTGTCCTAAGGTTTCAGAGTCAAACCAAGGTGAAATTCAAATTATTAAACGGAATACCCTATGGTTTATACCAGCAGTCAGAGCGCCAAATTGTACTTCCGAATATGGATCGGAAAATTTTTGCTGTATGTAACCCAACAAAAATGTTTCGAACCGAATTTGTAGGATTTTTAATAGTCTACATATTTATTACATTTTATATCTATTATTTTTTGTGACAAATCTAAGGTCACCCCTAATTCGAAATTAAAAATTCTACAATTTTTGTTTGAACCATTTTTATTGGTATACTTTGAGATAAATAAGTTCAAGTTTTCCATATTTAGACGTAAAATTTGGCTCTCTATTGATTGCTGGCTTAAAAAATGGGGTGTTTAATTAAATATTTTCCATTGACCTTCGTTTGACCTTAAAACTTAAGTTCAAGGTCACAAGAATATCGGTGGAATATTGATATCCTATAACTTTTATGTGAAACTTTTTCGGTAGGATTCGACCCTGAAAAGTTGACTGGATTTTTTGGGGCACCCTGTACGTAGTGATCCGTTTTAAAAACGGTATTTATTGGCCGATTTATCCGGACTTTTTTAAGATGGAGCTAAAGAGACTCTACGTTATATAACATTTTAAATTGTTTTTAGTTATTAAAGCTACTAAACTTTTTTGTTGTCAAATTTAGCAAAAATTGGTTAGCGATTTTCTTATTTAAAGTCTGAAAAATTTCGGCCTCGATATAGAATTTTTTAAAGTTTTGCTAAACCTTCGTTTTATTTTATATATTTATTCAATCGCTGTCGAATATTTTTAGTAATAGTTTTTACATGTTTAGAAATTTATTTATAAACCCCTCTTATTCTCCGTCTGGGTTCTTCTCCGCTAGTTGGTCGTATAAATTTGATTTATATATACCACACAGTAAGAAAACTAATATTTAGAAAAAGCAAATTAGTAAATAATTAATGTAATTTATTTATGACGATGAGATTTTCCGAAAAATCGCAGCAGACCATGGATCATCGTCAAGTGCATTTAGAAAAATAACATTCGAAAAATATTTAAAGGGATGTTCTGATGGATGTCCTGATTTATTGTGGGTCACACTGAATGTACGTCATAAACCTATATGTATTAGCTTTGACAATTTACACAATATTTTGGTTTATTTGCTGTCCCTGAAATTGTAAGAGTAAAAGTTCATTTTTTTATTCATGTGAGATCTCAAGATTTCCTGAAACTTTGGTCTTTACAATATTTTTTTGTAGATAAAAATGCAAACGAGATAAATGTTATGTGAATAACCCTGTTCATATTTTGATTTAGATCTCAACGTTTTTTGTAGTGTTGAAAATTTTGATTATATCGTCGACACTGTAATTTTGATGACTTCAAAGCAACTGACCATCGATGAATTTGTACATATTTTTGTTTTCAAATCATTTTATCTTATGGGTTTATGATAGACAATTTATAGAATCTTGGCGCCAGAAATATTTACCTTTTTGACAGCACCAGGTAGAAATAAGTGCCTGTATAAACACAATATCTATTGCCATAGTATCCCTCTAATCCACCTGACATTAACTGTAGACTTTTTTGTTTGGGGGCAGATATTTAAGTGGTAGGTATTAAGTAGTCTGAATAGAGCTTTAGGTTCATATATCGTTGTCCTTTTCCAAAAATAAAACTATAAAACCATTTTGCTGTCACATAGATTTGGTTTCACTGATTTAAAAAATTAGTATTTAGGGAGTAGCAGAGCTGATCGATTTATTATTTTGGAGCCGAAATCACCAAAAGATATTTAAATATTTAATTTTTTTTTTAGATTTTTCATATACGAGGTTCTACTTTTATTTGTATATCCCTTAAAACTTTTGTTCTTCAAGATGGGTAATCGACTGAACGTTTTTTTTTTGTTTTTAATAGTATTTCCTATAGACCAGGCGGTATCTGTTTTGGTTTGGGTGAATCGTATATCCACGGAGATTTTTGGCTTTTTGGCTTTCAAATATCACTAGAAATGAAAATTTTTCTATGCGCATAAAAAAAAACGTGGGCTTAACTTTTGACGGCGCAATATGTTACAAAAATTGGAAAAATGTCATATTTTTCTTCCTATTTAATTGTGTATCTTTTTAAGAGTTAATTTTAGGCGAAAATGGAAGAGGAAAAAAATGTTTGTAATTAAATTTTTTACAATACACGACTGGTTATAAATCGAATGAATCATGATTATTATGGTAAAAATCGAAAAAATCACAAAAATGGGGTTAAAAAACAATACTTTTTAGGGAATTTTTTAGGTGTATTTAAATTGGGTGTAGGACCTTTATACTTGGCTCAAGAAAACTTCATGTTATGTAGAATCATCACACCAAATTTCATAAAAATCGGTTCGATAGATTTTGCATAATAATTTTGCAATCCAGATTAAAAAATTTTACATACATAATTAAATAGGAAGAAAAATATGACATTTTTCCAATTTTTTTAACATATTGTGCCGCCAAAAGTTAAGCCCACGTTTTTTTTATGTGCATAGAAAAATTTTCATTTCTAGTGATATTTGAAAGCCAAAAAGCCAAAAATCTCCGTGGATATACGATTCACCCAAATATGGCTTTTTGAAACTGATACCATCTGGACTACTAATCTTTTTCTCGATGCCACTCCTTCTGAAATCCATATGACTATTTAATAATAAAAAGTAACTGATAAATTAATATCATGTTTCTTTTATTGA